TAGATGAAACTAGGTAGTCTTAGTACATCTATAGTCTGAGTCTCATTCTTGTAAACAATTTGTAAACTTGACCTATGATTAAAGATTCCCCTTGTGGATTCTTAATACAAATTATAATAAAGATAAAGACAAAACCTCACTTTAAAAAAAAAAAAAAAATTCTGGTTATATTAAAACTAACTTTAAAACTATGCAATATTACACAAATAAATTTAAAAAGTATATATTCAGATAAAAAGTTTGCTTAAAAATACTAAGTAAAGAAGTAGCACAACTTTTAACAATACTATTTATAAAGAACTTGATCTAAAGAAGAAAACCTAAAGCAGATAATCTGTATAGACAAAAATCTCTAAATAGGAGGTTTATCAATCTGGCCACTAATTAATTTAGATATTAAGTTATATCATGCAGAACTAACTAAATTGGTAATATAGAAGAACTTGCAAAAATAGACAAAATATTGATGAGATTGTAAAAAAAGAATACTGAAGTTATATAAACTTCACAAAAGTTGTAAACTAGATTAGTTATAAATTGAGATATAGAAGGCTCTAGTAATAATATCTTGAGAATAAATTATATAAAATAAAATAAATATTCTAAAGATATGAGTAAGCATCTAGATTTTCTCAACTAATATCAATATTGAAAATAATCTAGCAATACAGTTGAATTACAGTATAAAAAGTTTAAATAGACAATATTTTTAATTGGATTGCAGGTATAGTAGCTAATGTAAAACCTATATATAAGTAGGCTACTTAAATTAAATACCAAAAGTATATATATAGCTAGATGTATTCTCTAATATAAGATTGTTTCTTTAAAGTAATTAAGTCATAAGCTCCTGTGTTCTATATATTGAATAAAAAACTCTAGTTGTAGAAAGACTAGTTTAATAAAAAAAAAATTAACAATTATCTAAATCAAACTTTCCAAAAAATTGAACTATAGAAAAATAATATAGTTAATATATTAAATTTTATAAAAACTTTTTTAAAATATTGTATATGCATATTTGAATATCAAAATGGAGTTAAAAAAAATTATAGGTTCTTAATAATAGTTTAAAAGCATTTTAAAACTATAAAAAAAATAGTTAGTAAAAGACAAAGTTTTTTATTAAGTAAACAACAAAGTTGAATATATTAATTCTATATAACTGTAAAACTTATAAGAAATATTTAAAAAGTTAAGAACTTACAGAGGCTATAAAGTTAGTTTACTTTTTGTCTTTACTTTTTTTTAAGAAAAATTTTATAAAAAGTAAATAATTTAGTTTATCTCTTTCTAAAGATCAATATATAAATTACTAAATAATCAACAGTATTTACTTTCTAAATAGATTTGTTAATAATATAAATTAGAATAATACAGTAATATAAATACAACTATATACATGTTTTGAGCTACTAGAAATCTGTTAATACTGTTTACAGACTAATCAATATTATAGATTAGTTCTTTATAAACAAGTCAAAGTTTTTTTTCTATTATAGTTTTTTATTAAATAATTCAAATAAATAGAAAAATAATAAAGTTATTTCCATTTAGTATAATTTTATAATTTTTAAAACCCAATATAAGTTTATAATTATGATTATCTAATATTTGTAAATTACAAGTTTTATAATTTTTTTTTTTCTTCATTTATTTTCTTTCTTTTTTTATTTTTTATTTTTTATTATTTACTTCTATATTTTTGTGTTTTTTTTATATATAAAATTCTTTTTTTTATTTTTTGTTTTTTTTATAAAAAGATATTATCAGATTGTTTGTATTCTATTATAAGATGATAATCAGACAAGCAGTTTACTTCTAATTAAGGTAGTGCAACAGATCACATTTAGGTACCATTTAGGCAACCAGGTAATATTGAATTTAAGTATTAGAAAATTTCTATATAATTTGTATAGTTTCAAGAATTCTAATAAAATACTAACATGATTACTTAAAATAAAAAAAAAATAAAATAAAATACAGAAGACTTTAATAAGTTTACCTTCAAGAATAAAATAATTCTAAAGTTTGAAACAAGAATCCAAACTATGAATGAACACCTTTATAATTTGATGAATTAGCACAAGAATACAGAATCAGAAGGTTTTTAAAATGAAACATCTGAACAGAAGTGTTAGGTATGACAATTGATAAAGAACCTTTAAGCGGACTCCTTAAATAAGTAATATAGAAAAGTTATACGTGTAACCAGTTGTACTCTCATTCTGTGATAATTCCAAATGTGTAAAGTCATGCTTCAAGAAAGTATCAATAAAGTCAATGACCAAAGAGGGTCACCTTAACACCGAAAAAAAAAGTTGTTATTATAAAAAATCTTGATTATGCCGCTTACACCCCAGCGTATGTAACAGGAAGAAACGTTGATGTTACACAATTGATTTTACACACGGCGTGTAACACATAAAAAATTATTTTACAATACTTGAACAATCTTGATCAGTCCGCTAGTAGATGTTATGATTATAATAAAAATGGTGTTGGATTATAATCTAGCGGACTGGTCAAGATTGTTCAAGTATTGTAAAATAAATTTTTTGTGTTTCACACCGTGTGTAAAATCACTTGTGTAACATCAACGTTTCCTCCTGTTAGCGTATGTATGTACGTCGTACGTACCTTTAAAGTTATGCATGTGCGCCCGAGGATCATAAAAATTAGATTGCAGATTGTTATATTAATAAAATGGAAAACATGAGTTTTTTTGGTTTTATTCAAGTCTTTCTCTAAGTTTTTTTACATTGTAAAGTCACATAATGGCAAATTCCAGCCAAGAATCAAAGAATTTTAGTAATGATGAGTACCAAGCCGTTATCGAAGGCTTGAAAAAGATTTACAGTCAAAAAATCAAGTCTCTTGAAACTACTTATAATTTTGAGGGATTTCATTCACCTCCGCTAACAGATAGTGACATAGAAGCAAAACCTATCATATTACTCATGGGACAATATTCGACTGGAAAAACCACTTTCATAAAATACTTATTAGAAAAAGAGTATCCTGGTTCGTTGATTTATATATTTATTTTATTTTATTCTTATTTTTATTTATTAAGGTCAAATATGGGTTTGGAGTTACAAAAATTAATTTTTGTTTTCTAGGAAGTCACATCGGTGTAGAACCAACGGTGAGTGTTAGGCAAACTTTCATTTTCATCTATGAGAAGGGATGATACAAGCGAGCTTTGACTGCCCTTCCGCGAATTTTGATAATATATATCTCTCTTAAACAAGGGCAGGAAAGCTGTTCAAAAGACATTAGTTGATAAGTATATATACTTATTTATATTTTCAATCTAGACGGATCGATTTGTTGCTGTAATGGGTGGGGTGGAAGAAAAGGTTTGTAGGTTTATAAACTATAATTTACTTTTTTTTTTTATCAAATTATTTATCATTGGGTATTTTAATAGATCATTCCTGGCAATGCTGCAGCCGTAGATTCACACCTACCTTTTCGAGGACTCAATAAATTTGGACAAGCATTTTTAACGCGATTTCAGGTTTGTTATATTTTTGGTAATCATATAGCAACGACAACGTTTTATAATTATTTAATTAGTAGGTTTCACAATTTCCAAGTCCTATCCTTGAGAATATGTCGATAATTGATACTCCTGGTATTCTAGCTGGCGACAAACAACGACTTGACCGCGGGTATGACTTTACCTCTGTGATCGAATGGTTCGCTGAAAGAGCGGATTTGATCTTACTATTTTTTGACTCTCACAAATTGGATATTTCAAATGAATTCAAATTGGCGATCACTTCATTGAAAGGACAAGAAGAAAAGGTCAGAGTGTTACTTAACAAAGCCGATATGGTTGATGGTCAACAATTGATGCGTGTGTAAGTATTCTTCACCTAGACGCGTTTCTGATATCCAATTAATTAAAATACCAACAACTAACTTATTAAATTCTATAATAAAGGTATGGTGCTATGATGTGGTCACTGGGAAAAGTTGTCCAGACCCCTGAAGTAATGCGAGTTTATCTTGGGTCATTCTGGTCAGATAAACCTTCTAATTCATTCGATGATTGTAGAACATTACTTGATGCTGAGCAAAAAGATCTGCTCAGAAGTCTCCGTGAATTACCACATAACGCTACTATCAGAAAAATCAATGAGATTGTTAAGCGAGCGAGAATTTCAAAGGTTTGTGACAATATAAAATAATAATGCTCATGAATTTTAAGATTTGCTATGTATATCTGGACTGTAATGTTTAATCAAATATCATCTCAAATCAGATATGCATAAGAATAATACGAAAATTTAAGGAAATTTTATCATTAAAATAGGTGCATGCTTATATCATTGGACATTTGAAAAAAGAAATGCCCTCTATATTTGGCAAGGAATCCAAACAAAAGGAACTTATTGAAAAATTAGATAAAGAATTTGTAAAAATTCAACACCGTTATCACTTAGCACCTGGCGATTTTCCAAATCTGGAGCGATTTAAAGCTGGTCTTAGTGTATACAAATTTGATAAATTCAACAGCTTGAAATCTCAACTTATTGACAAGGTTGATGATGTAAGTAAGATCTGCATATAAGAATATTAAAAATATCTGTCAAATTAATAATAACAACTAACGATTTATATACTAGGCGTTGTCTAGCGATTTACCAAAACTTATGTCTAAAGTCCCGCAAGGAAATAGAATGTTACCAGCATCTGAACGTAATCCTTTCGATATGACATTAACAGTGAAAAATAACGCTCGATTAGATCTACCACCAAGTTACTGGGATTTCTCAGCAGTTAACAAACAAGAAGCTCTAGCACAATTTAATGCTATGAAACCAAATAATGGTAAAGTAAGCGGAGAATCAGTTAAACCGGTATTGATGGAAACAGGATTAGAAAAGGCTGTATTAGCAAAGATTTGGAAATTGGCAGATTGGGATGAAGATGGGTACATGGATATTGATCAATTTGCGGTGGCCTTACATCTTTGTAAAGCCGTTACGAGTGGTGGTGAAATACCAGAGGAACTACCGCCGACTTTGAAACCTAGCAGCAAACTTTAATATGTATTATATCGGTATTTGAATTGGTGGTTAACCGGATCCACGGACGCAATAATATTACTGGGCCTTTTTACGATTGTAAATTTATACTTGCCGCCTAGCTTGGGTTTGTCTACGCCCAAATCTCAAACTCTGGCCTAAACAAACAAAATATTAGATTATGTAGAATATATGGATTCGTAACATGCAAACTCATTTTCAGTTAATTTTTTATAAATAGCAATTGTTTCTTTGAGGTTTGGGATTTATCCAGGTTTGGCCGACAAGTATAATTATAAAATTCCATTGGAAAGCCATAAAAATCCCACTAGATGCAAAAATTAACAACATTGCATTACATATTGATTAGGTGATTGATTCGTATATTTATTTTTTTTATTAGATAGAATGATTCATTTTCATTATTTCATTAGTATTTTTTTAGAACATCAAATTTATTTAAATAAAACATACTGTTTTTCAATTATTATACTACTACACGAGTTCTTGATTTGATTGATTCGATCTCCGGATTAAAGTACATGATCTGCGTAATTCAAATATCTATATGAATAACGGAAAGAGAATTCATTAACCTTATCGGATTCAGGGATGCCCCAGTTTTACTATCGAAGTACTGAAGATTTGCAATTACTCCCATAAGTGAATAATTAGTACAACCAATCAGTTCTTGGGGGAGAAATTAGTAAATCCCCCTGAAAAATTTTATTTTATCTGCTATGTGATTTAGCGTTAGTCACCAAATCATAAAATTTCCCCGTTTGATGACCAAGCACATCTTGGTGAAGAGACTTAAAATGATCAACTTTACACATAATTAATCGATAGGGTTGAGCCCGATAAGGCGAACCAATTTACTCCCCAATTTACACGTTTCCCTCCGTCGCTCATAGTTATTTCTGACCAGAATTGAAAATTTGACCTACATTACAATAGTCGATTCGGATTTAGGCACTGGTAGTGCTATTTTCATAACACAATACTGCAATATAGTAATATATATATATTATTGTATTCTCATGGTCGACTTCGTACAGATATTTGTTCTCAACCTTAAAATGTCAAGTACTAATACTGGAACGCTGCCCACTCTTACAATCGATACAGATGTCAGCGTTAATCATAATACCGCTTGTCCGTTAATTCCAAACCAACCATTAAACAGTCCCAAATTTGAATCAACAAGGAGGAAAAAAAAAAATCGGATCACTGCAAAGTTGTCACGATTAAAATCAAAGAGCATTTCAAGTAATAGTTCAAGTGCAGACGAACAAGGTGAAGATTACACGCTTTTTTGCTGTTGCTCTATAAATGTGTCTGCTATTTTGGTCTTCACGTTGCTTTTTTTATATAATATAGAGCCTACACCATCCGTGAATCAGAACATTCCGATTATATATATATCACCTGAAACTCCAATATCACAAAATTCACTGACCAATGTTAATGCATTAATACCCAAACTTTCTAAAAAATCAAAATCAAAAGACAAAAAAAAAAAAACTTTTCGACGTTCAAAATCTCAAAATGTGACTGATGATTGTCTTAGTGAAGACCATAACGATAATCTATTTCAATCATTAAACAGATTATCACGAACAATTCCGGCCTCGGTAAAATCAACTGCATCGCCACGACGCATTTTTCATAGGCAAAGAAAACATAAATCTAAAAATAAACATAATTTTATCAATCGACCAAAATTGCGTAACATCATGAATTTTGATGTTAATAAATTCGGCGTGTTACCATCCTTTCCAGTAAATCAAGCAAGTATCCCAACTTTACCGGTGGATGGATTTTCAATACAAATGAACCTTGAAGCTATACCCAAATATCATGATTATCCACATCTATTTTTATTTAAAGATATAGCGTGCAAGGATGAATCTATTCGGTTTTTGATTTTCCAGATCTCTAATCATGTACTGTATTATAACAGCGTTGATAAGATAGAAGATCAGGAATGGTGTATCAAACATTTTAAAACTCCTTTAGATGAATCGTCAAACAATGAAAGTTTAGAGTTTGATGATATCGAAGTAGATCAGCCGAGATTTGATGACATTAGTAATCAAGGGAAGAATAAAAAAATACAAGATATTAGAAAGCGTCAATTATTGGACAGGTTTCGTAATATCGAGTACAAAAAAATTGGGCTTGTTGATAATGTGGATATCATGGACAATATTAATTCTGAATCAAAAAATGATAATGGTAAGGAATATTAAATGCGTTCAATAATATGTTAATTAAACTTATAAATATTATTACGTGCAAACTCAAATAGATCCAGAGTGGAAACGATTTGAAATCAAAATTAATGAAATAAGTTTCATTTTGGGTGCTGCTCTCGTTGAAGATAAATCACGGTTCCTAAACAGTATAAGATTTTTCGCAACAGAAAAAAAGAGACCAATTAGGGGTAAATTATTCTATACCAATATTATTTTGCACAAATTTTACATTGCACAATAACCTTGAATTTTCCTTTATTATTATTTTTATATGTTTCATAGATTTATTGAAATATAAAGGACACATTATGGAAACTTTCTCTGATTCCGAAGATGAAAGTATAGATAGTGAAGATGATGATGATCTGAGGCGAGACAAATTCTAGATAAATATTTTGCCATGTGTTATTCTTCGTACTCAAAATTAACATGAAATGCATTTATATACAGTGATATTACTGAACTCATCGAAGAGCTATCTAATCGATGCTCTCAGCATGAAAAAGATTTTTTATATTTGCGCGTAAGCTGAAAACTATTGAACGCTCAAAACGTTGTAATCGTGATTCCTTATTACCCTTTTCATACGTCTAACATTTGTTACGTCTAATAGAATGTAATTAACAAAAAGGCAACGCTTCTTGATCTGAACATACGTAAGTTCCGCGATTTAGATGAGATTGCTAAGGTTTGAAAGATTAGTTATACAAAAGTTTTTGATCTATAATTATGATTATATCGGTTTTTCATACTAATTTCGGATATTCAACCAATTAAATTTGGACAATGTAACTTAAATCGCCAAACTAACTACGATTTAGACTACAATCCAATATAATTTGATAGCTTAATCACAGATCAATCATGAAATTTCCAGGCAATTTGCCTGGAAAACGGTTTAAGGGATAACAATCAAACCTGGATAATTCAACCAATCAAATTTGAACATACCGTATAGCACTGCTTATAGTACCCGTGGGTACTTTGTATGAAAATGGGTATTATGAAAAGTAATAAATTAATTTAGCTATACCCCGGGTCTTATTCAATAAATAGAACGGTAGGACGGTGTTAATACCCGGGTTTTAATAATGGTGGCTAGCCAGTGTTGGCATTGGACATATGTCCAATGCCCAACACTGGGGCTAGCGATACAAATCGATTAAAAATTTTCAATCTATTAGGTGTTTTATCATTTTATTCAACTAATTGATTAGTTGGTCAATCGACTAATCAATTAGTTGAATAAAAATAAATAAATGAAACTTGGTAAAATGACGTAAATTAGCAATGGACATAGTCGGATTGATATTCAGTTGATTAATTGACCAGTCGGCTAATCGATTAGTCAATTAATCGATTAATTCGATTTTCGATTTGTATCATTACTGGGGGTATTATTTTACGGGGATATTATAAGTTGCGCTATACGGTAATAACAAGTAAAATTTGGACATGGTTATCGCGATTTGCATTTTGTTAAATTTGCAATCATCAAAAAAAAAAAAAGATATTGCTCGATCGTTAGGAAATGATTTGTAAAACCATCCCGATGTCTGGAGTAATGTTAAGGAATCATCCGAAATCGAGGGATTTTTGATGATCTGCAAATTTCGATTTGGCAAGGCAAATCTGACGTCATCAAATCACGTGATTGTGTTTACTAAAATACCATGTCCAAATTTGTCGACGTCGGCCTGTATTTTAAGCAGATTTCGAAGTTAGGATTGGTTTAGGGTTATGTTTGAATTATGTTAGAGTGAAGTCTGAGCGAGATTATATTTTTATTAGAGCACCAAAAGGCAAAAATACCGTCCTGATGGATCTTCAGTACTATTCCTGATAGGGTTCTATAAAAGCCTCTAAAACACTACACAGCTATAGCGAAGTATACGAAAAAAGTTAGGATTAGGGTAATTTTTAAAACCCTATCAGGAACAGTATTTAAATAAATTTTTTTTTTAACTCCATCAAGATCGGTACCGACAATCCATCAGGAACGGTATTTTTGCCACGAAAAGTAGTTCAAGCTAATTTGACCAAAATTAGTTGGTTGAATGATTGCTGAATACCGAATTTGAATGTTCGAAATTGGTATAAAAAAACCGATATTTTGCTTTAAATAGCATTGTAATTAATTCATAGTTAATTCAATTACTTTAATTACTTTTAATAAAGGATCTTAACGAAAAAATCTCCATAACCGGTTCCAGGTCAACGAAAGAGATGAAAGAAACTATTGATATATCAAGCAGAACTACTGAAACGATTGCTGAAAAACTAAAATCAATTAGTACGCGAATGTGTGAGAAAAGTGAGATTTTGAAACAATACCAACAAGCGGTAAGAAAAGGTTCTTGGTTAGTGAAAAGTAAATATATCCTGTTCGAGGCATGAGTCAATCAGTGATCAAAATTAAATCCCAAATTATATTAAACAGTTTGTTTGCGTTGGGTAAATGTTAGGGTTAAAATTAACAAGAACTCAGTATTCTCTGCTATAATACCCATTAAAAAATCCGGTACAATTAATTTAAGGGTTCATTATTCAAAATTTGAAAAAGATATGGGTATTATTGTAGAGAAATATATATAATCATTATTAAACTAATATTGAAACTATATAAAGTATCCCCTACTATAGTATCTTTCCTTCTATTAATGGATTTGATGGTTTTCTGTATAGTGCCCGGCTACATAATCAATGGCACATGGTAATGATTTTGCTGTCACACTCGATCCTGTGATTGGGTTGTTAGCGTATCTATTCATGCTTCGAACGGAATTCACATTTCACCACGGTTTAAGAAGTTTTCCCTTTTTGAATTTATGGCCTTCTTGGTAAATTGCATTTTTCATTTGTACAGCTTAGGGCGTTGCAAAATCGAGTTGAATTGGAAAAGAAAACTGAGAAGGTACTTGCCAAATATCGAAAAGTACTAGGTAGTTTCAACACATTATTATATTATTTAAAATCTTTCAAATTAAGACCATATTTGAGTTAATTATTCATTCTTCATCCTTTTTACCTTTTTTATCTCTTTTAATATAGTTTTCGTACTATGCGTTATTATCATAATTGTTATATTGTTGTTGCGTGTCAGATTTAATAGCCGCGAAAGAATTTTAACTTATTGCGAAGACGCGTTATAATGTGAAATCTGTTAACACGTTAATTTAGAATGAGGTTAGTGTTAAGAGTAAAAAATAATCCTATCCTAAAAGTTTGCAATGATTTTGTTTTATTAGGCGTGAAAGGAATTTCCTAAGTAAAATTATGTATTACAAGTGATTTTGTTATTTTTTAGTTTCAATATTATATCTGATTTTATAATATGATTGGTTGATATAATATTGATATTTTGTATAATTTAAGATTATACCAATTATATTTTTATATTTAATTACTAAAATTTGTTATAAAATTAAAATTAATATCTTGGTTGATAATAACTAATTTTTGCTTAGAGGTCAAAGCATGGTTTTTATAATAAAATTAAATTAATATTTTGTTTTGGTTATATAAGATTTAGCAATTTAATTTGTTTTTTATTTAATTGAGTAATATCACTTAGGATAAAATTAAGTGACTGTTAATAATTAATAAAATAAATTTTTTTAAAAGTTAACTTTGTAAAATATATATATATATATATTTAAAGTTATTGTTTTTGAGTAAAAGATGTTTTTATTTAAATTATATAAACATGGATGCTTTTAGAAGTTTTCTTATATAAGAGATTATAACTAATTATATATGCATTTTTGGTACTTAATTTAAATAATTCACTTATATATGTATTTTTTTTTTTTTTTTTTTAGTGTTAAGATGGCTTTTTTAGTTTTTTGATTTTTATTAATAACTTTTTTTTTTTTTTTGTTTTTATGATAATAAAATATAAGTATTTCTATAAAATAAACTAATAGTAAAAATAAATTATTAAAGCCAATTAATAAAATATTGTATAATATCTACATCTCCTTTTACAAAACTATCTAACAATTTAAGCTGTTTATTGGTCTTTTTAATAGTGTCAGTATATTTTAACTCTCTACCATTCTTGCTATTGTAATCAAAGAATTCCATAAAGTTTAATTCTTGTGTGAAATAAACTGCTGACATTTCATATTTGATATGAACCCAGTAGCATTTTTTCTCTTTGTATCTTTCCAATACTGGTTCATTTGCAATCAGTCTTAAAGTATTATAAAATACAGTCAATGCTATAGGAAGTACTTTGGATGGCATATCAGCAGCATCAGCATCATTTTTATTTGTTCCACTAGAAGTGACAGCTACAATATCATGTGTGAATTTTTTATTATCTGTTTCATCTGGATTACGAATTTCAACAAAAAAAAGCATTCTGCAGTATTTTTTATCTTGGTGAACAACAAGATAGACATGGACAACATCTCTATTATCAATATGTTCATTACATTTTGTTTGAAAGTAATTGATCATTGCCTTGATTTCATTTCCATGGTTTTCTTGTTTTTCTTGTGATTCACAGGCTTCAATATGTTCATAAAGATTATTTCCTCCTTTGATAAATGAAAATACTTTTTCACCAGTTCTTGTATTGATATAGTATTTGTATTTTTGATGGGAGTTTCCATTACTATAATTTGTATAGTTAGAATCGTAACTAGATGGGACAACATAAATTTCTTCAGTATCAGACATATTTGTTATTAGTTTCAAAATTCTTAGTAAAGTAATGATGGATAGTTATAAAAAAATGAAGGTTATATAAAGGTTTGGGTTATACGTATTTGGAATTTCTATATTTGGAGTCTGTAAACAACATTTTCTTATATTTAATCATATACTCGAATCATCTTTATTTTCAATTCAGTAATATGGCTTATCTTTCTTTTCCTCCTGAAATTTTACAAAACATCATCGATGATTTTGATATATGAAAAACATTATTTTTTACAAACAAGACATTTAACAAAACTTTAACAAACATTTTATTTGCAAAAAAACCATTACAAGATTGATTTGAAAAATAGTATTTTTTGAGATATCTTAAATTAATACATTCAAATTTTAAGGATAATGAGAAAACAATTTTTAATGAGATTATTAATATGATTCCTAAGAATATCGATACTGGGACTATTTTAGAATTTGTTAGATTAATTTTAGAAGATGAATACAACCAAATTTTTAATTATATTGATTTTAAAATTGGTAAAATAATATTAAATCAAGCTGAGATTATTAGAATTTTAGTAAATGCTCTTAGAGTGAAAAATAAAGATTATTTTTTATTCAAACTTCTATCAAATGATAAAAAAGAAAGCTTGAAACTTGGATTGTTTAAAGAAACTTTATACACTACACAAGATCCTATTTTACAAAGATTGGCTTTTACAAG